TGAATGATTTGCATAAGGGCAACAGAAAATGGTGCCAGAGCTCCCTGCCCACTAGAACAGCAGCAAAGTGGAAATCTTTACTGCCTCTTCACTGTACACCCACAAGCATGGTGCCAGAGCTCCCTGCCCATTAAGTGGAAGTCCTTACTGCCTCTTCACTGTACACCCACAAGCTGTTCTGCACGTTTCAATCTTTTGTGCTACATTTAGTCAAGCATGTCATAGCCTTAAACAACCTACTCCCACTCTGAAGCACCTTCCTTATCTAAAGTGTAGCTGGTTCCATCACCACCCCTGATGACAGAGTACATGAAGGAGGCCAATGACGCAACTGTCAGAAAGTCAGCATGTTACAAGATTTGTGTGGGAGGAGGCTGAGAGAAGGTAGCTCCCATGACATAAAGGCAAGTATGAACCTGCCCTGAGCCAAAAACTTGATCAGTTACATGTTTTTTAAGACTACAGATACAGCTCAAGTCTTAAATATACTTAAAAGCAAGTCTCTGATTTCCCCAGCAAACACACATCAGGTACATTTTAAAGGTTTGAATGCAAATCGATGTCTGGGCCATCTTTACCAGAAGCAAATGATATCTGGGTTCTGGTCGTACCTGTGCATATATCTTCAGAGGAGCATTCCCAGCTTCACTGGCATCAACTGTAAACTCTGCAGGATTGTTCACAATACAGCCCGTTCTCTCCAGACCTGGACCATACGCTTTTACCTAGAAAAGATGAACAAGAGTAGAAAAAAATGCCAGGACTCTATTACAGCATGGACACTGTGGGCTGATCAGTACAAAATTTGTTTTCAGAAGCCAATAAAGATTCCTCGTTGATTGCATATATTTTACTGCAGGAGAATATTTTCTGTTCTGGAAGAAATCCTGCTATAACAAATGCCCAGGATTGTAGCACTCCTCAGAGAAGGACTCTAGCAATCAATTGCTAGATCAGAATGAGCCCAAACTAACCCAGGACAGACCTTTGCCATCTCTTGCTATGTCACTGGATGAAGCAGCAACATCAACTGCATTAATGGTCTCCAAGGTTTCCCATGACAAGCTACAGCATGGTTCTCCTTCAGTGGGGAAAACAGATGTTTCTATAGAACGAATTGCTCAAGAAACTTTGATAAGTTATAATCTAAAGAAGAGATAAACCCTCATGCCCTTGCCTTGTCTGAGTCGAAGTCTATAGCAGTCGGTTGGATAAATGCCATGTAGGGGCTGTCTTGTATGTCCTCATCATCACACATGATGTGAACAGCATATTCACCAGGTTCTTTGGGCCAGTACTTCACATCACATGACCCATCATTCTGATCATCACATTCAATTTTCGCCTGGGATGGACCTTCAATGGCAAAACCTAAAAAGAACACAAGTGTGTTAGAATTGTAAAAAGTGTCAATTATGATTTTGCTGATAGGACTCTAAAGGATGTTCACTTCCGCAGCAGCAATCCTTTTCTTTGCAGTAGGTTTTGGTAGAGGCAATCCCCAGTACACACTTCATTCTGCTACAAGGCAGCCCAGAGTTGCTAAGAGTGGCTGCACTTCTAGGGCAAACAGGGCCAAACGCTATACTTCACCATCACTTTTGTGATCCCTGCAGCACAGTGTGTGTTACAACACTGGGAGCTGGTGGCCATCACTTTTGTGATCCCTGTCCACTTAAGACAGGCAGCCCAGTGTGTGTTACAACACTGGGAGCTGGTGGGGAAAGCATGGCTAAATCAGACTGAACAGAGCAGTCAGTCCTACTTGCCTGTGATTGTTTACCTATACGTCAAATTATATCCTGCATACATCTGGGGCAGCTAATCACCAATTAAACTGCAATGTAATTAAAACAAATACATTCAGCCGTAACTTAATCTACAGACCAAACAAGAATACAGTTATTGAAAACAACACTAAATTAATTAACTGTAAATATAATTGGGGACTGCAAGAAAAGCACATGGGAAAATATACATTGATGGTCTCCAATACATGTTCCAGCTTTATATCAAGGAAGTCTGCTTTCTGAACATTAGCAATTAGTCCACTAAGATATGTTTAACAGAGCACAGGCTGAGACAGCCTTTTATTTAAGATGTTCTTGGGCACCACATTTCACTAACTTTGTCTAGACTGGCTTACCTAGTGATCCCACTTCTGGGCCAATGGATTCTACCACAAAGTCAGCAGATTTCCCAACAACTCCTTCATGAAGTCCTGGCCCCCAGGCTCTCACTTTCTGAGGACCAGCTTCAGGACCTACTTGAACTTCAAAGGGGCTACAGGAGAAACACCAGAATTCAAGATTAGGAGAAAGACACCAGAGTGAGTAAGAGGCCCAATTATGAGATTGCATTTTTTTGCCCTTTACACCCCCCCTCCCATCCCAGTAAGCTCATGATTGCATCTAGGCCACAAAAACTGTTTACATCTTGTTCTTCCCTACATTGGAAGAATGTGCCACTGGCTATCCCAGCAACACTTAACAGTTTAACAAATGGAAGATGCAGCTTTCAACTGTCACCACTGTTCCTCCCCACACTGCACACTATTTCAGGCCTTGTCTGAATCCAAGAGAAGTGAGCTCATTTAAGAAAAGGTTTCTCATAATGTCACCTTTGTCCAGATTAATGGACCCAGAAAGTTAAGGGCAAGTGAATCACAAACTTTCAAGCCACACAATGTCTGCTGAAAAGGAACTGCGCCCTAAGGTTCCTACGCAGTTTGCCTTACCCAAGTTGTTCAAGAATGAAGTTTTAATCTTGCCTCTACCAAGTAATGATCTGGTGCTTTGCTGAATTATATGAAGCAACAGAGAAAGGCAAGGCAGGCGAGGCAGACCCTCTGTTTTTATCAAGGGTGCTATTAAGTTTGACAGATACAATACTAGTGCCTGAAACACAG